TTTTTACGGATTATTGTATTGTCATCCAAGACCAAGGTCTATACCAATTTTCAGAATTTTTCATCTTCAAAAAGTGCCTCAAATCGAGCGCGCAAGATTTGATCACAGACGGACGTGAAACCAAACTTAAGAAAAGTGTTAAAAAGGTTATAATTGGGCAGAATACCATGTCGAGAATAGGAGGTACCTATCTTGATTATTGTAATATGATTTAACTTTTTCCAATACTAAACAGTATGTTATTGTTTATAACATACCTATTATAAAACAATAAGTAATTTAGTAAAACTATTTAGTAGGGTAAAAGTTTTATCATAATCATATTTTGCATTGTTTATTATACTTACCTAAACTTAAGATAGTTAAAATTAAATAATATCGAAAAAATATTATACCTAATTTCACACAAGTTCCATTGTAATACGCGAATCGTGGATATTTTCCATTTGTGTTTTCGTTATGTTAATTTCCTGGAGCAATTGATGTAGGGGTGCCTACCTATTTATAATGTATATTTAATTTCTGATCAACTCACCGGCGCAAAATATGTTTAGGTACCTTTTTTAATTTCTGATAAATCCTCCGGCGAAAAACATGTAATTGTATATTATAATAGTTCGGATGGTCTAAAACAAAAAAAATCGGTGCAACTGAAACACACCGAAAATTACAACGTTCAAACACTAAACTATAATTTATGTAGTACTATACTGTACATACACTTTATTACTACGTACCTATATATAGGTTGTATATAGCTTATATATCTCCGTAAATAAATATAAATTTCAATTTTAGCAGGTAATCCAATTTTAATTTTGAAAGATAATTTAATTTCGATAGTGTTTTCTCTATACGCTCTGTAAGAATTAGATTTTCGAAATTTTTCATCGTTCATATAGCATTGTTCCAAATTAATTAATTCAGTTTCTCAAAATAACAGTGCACTTTTACAGGCCAACGAAACGAAAAATAACGTTTTCCTACAAAACATATAGAAAAAGGGCTAACGAATTCAAATCGTTTTTTCCAAATTAAAATTGTACCTACTACTATTATATATGTTTATTTTTTGCCAGCTTATATGTATGAAAAATCCAATCTCTCAGTACCTACCCCCTTAACCTTCACTTATAGATATGTGACCCGTTGGAAGAAACACATTTTGGCAAACCTAATGGTCTGCTGAAGCCAGTCGTATTTTAAAACTGAAATTTCCGAAATTAAATTTTTTCTCGACACTCTAAATCGAACTCGCGTACACGATACACCTGTATAATGACGATCGCTCATAACGAGATCGGTTGTGTTAGACGGTCCGCATCATAATAATATGATGTCTGGATAACTATACTCGACCATCGTACAAATAATGCGTAATAATACTGTTACGATAATAATAATAGGTATATGTATAGGAAGGTACCAACCTGAATGGGTACCAATGAAGAAGTGGTAACCGGAAAATAGTTGAACACGTGTAGTGTAATATGGTGAAAGTCGAGTCAAAAGGCGACCACTGTATAGGTTGTAGTACATATAGTTGTGATGAATCTTCAGCTCGTTACCGCGACCACTGATGCTGCTACGGATACCGCGTATACCTATATATATACCGTTGTCAAATTACTTTAACCTTGTCGCGATCTTCGTTCTTCGTTTTTTTCTTTTTTCTTGCGACCCGATGTAATGACGTGTGTAGTACCTACCGTTCTGTATAACGACGACGGACTTCGAGAAGGAAAAAATAAAACCACTCGTTCACAATCGCGAAAAAAATTTATTTCAGCAAAAAAAAATATCATAATAATATATAGTATATAGAGGCAGACGATTGGTACAATGACATATAATATAATAATATATATATACCACCTACGTACATACAAATATAATATATATACTTATTATAATATATATTGTTCGTAATATATATATATATAGCTGACACTTAAACGTAACACATGTTTATATTATGTAAATATAGTTAATTATTAAAATATAATGTTTATTATTATAATTATTGTTATATAATATTAGGGGTTGAATATAATATATTATGTTATTTACAATGCGCGTTTCTCGTACTTGGAACACAAAACGTTGTCCGCGCTTCAAAAAAATAATGTGAGAGGCTATTACTGTAATATAGTATTATAATATCGACAAAATATAGTACGTCTGCGGAGGGTAAAGAATATATTATTATGAAATCAAATCGCAGCTGTAGCCCACTAACCCACGAGTGATACGTACCCGGACCGTGGCGATTTATGTAAGACAATATTATAATTATGTAGAAACCGTTCGTAGCGTTGGGCAGCGATTACTCTCCTGCGCACGGAACGTTTCGAAAACGGCGCTGAAACGATAAGAAAACATTATGACGCCGACGAGTGAAAAATAATATTTTAAATCGTCTAAAATCGCACGTCAAAAGACGCGGGGCCGAACGGGGGAGGTGACGACGACGACGTGGAAGGGTTTATCGCAGAATATAATATTATCTTAGGCGAAAACTATCACTGTACAACTACACACAATGATATCGAGTTGCGTGAACAAACACGCGAGGTTGAAAACAGTTAACCCGGTCGCGGTAAGGGTCGTTTTTGAAATGTATTCGAAGTCGACGAGCTATATTGACGTGCGTCGGCGGTTTAGTGGGGCGGTAAGGATAACGCAGAGGAAACGTGAAAAAAAAACATTAAATTACCGAACTTTTAAATCGTCTACGATAATTAGTGAAGTATAAACATACGTGACACACATTATTATAATATTGTGTCTTAACGATTTTAGCAGATTATGTTATTATATATGTATTATCACTCGAGACACGATGATTTAGAAAAAAAATTTCAACCATGGCGGCCGTGGCGATCGAAAGCAAACAGAAATTTATAGTAAAAATCTTAAAAAAACAATAGACAATACAATATTCTCACAATAAATTTAAATATAATAATATACAATAATTTACATTACGATTTATGATTGATTTATAATAATTATAATATAATATAATATTGTTTACAAACACTGCACACATTTTCCACGTGGTGATTTGTAATTTCCGTATTTTAATAATAATCATAATAAAAAATATAAAATAAATGGCCGGTGAACGCGCGCATTAAAAAAATAATAAAAATCGCATCGACAATCATCATCACAATATTATACCCAGGTATAATAATAGGTCGACTTGCGCATAATAACGCGTTCGTACATAATATAATACCTAATAATAAGTGTTGTACGCGGCTCGATTGTTCGAATCTCTGGGGAGGTCGACATTTTGCGCGATTACAAACACAGGGCGGCGAAGGAAAGTAATTTTTGCCTTTCAAAAAAATAAAATTTATGAATATACATGGACCACGGTATTTACTTCAAAAGTGATATAAATATATGTTGTATTAGTTATTATAAATGGTGATAGTTTAATAGAGAGAGAGAGAGGGAGAGAGATGTTTATAATATATAAGTTGATACCGCGGTGCGCACCGCCAATCGCAACTCAAAACCGATTCACACAAATTTCACAAAAAATATATAATATCGTCGTACATAATAATATAATATATGATTATAATAATTATTATACGACCGACAGTAATATAATATCCACACGATTTAAAAAAAAAATAATGAGTAAAAAAATTATGTACGTAGGAACAAATTTAAGGAATAGTAATAATAATAATAAAAAAAAAAAATATCATCAAATCCGTTACACAATCATACGAAAATAGTTTTAAGACATAATATTTAAATCCTTACACGACACATACATATTTTATTAAGTACAAAGCAGCATCAAACAACCGAAACAATCGCGTCCGTATATAAAAGCAAAAATCAAAAGACGCGTAATAATAATGGTATTTTGATCCTAAACCGAGATTCGACCGAGAAAACAAACGAATTCAAATAAAGTGTACAATCAATACATTATTATGCATCATCTCGGCTACACACACAAAAAGTTGTACACGTACAGAGGTGATAATATTATTATTATTATGACGTAGGTAATACCCGATATTAGGTGGCTTAAAATCTGTTCGAAACCGTTTAAAATCGCGCCTAACTGCGAATGAATTTTTATTAATTAAAATTTTTTTTTTTTTGGGGGGGGGGCTACCGAAAAGGGGCAGGAATCTTCTTGAATCGAGCGAAAAAAAAACTAAAAGCGTTTATTGTGTAAATAAAATCATTGTAGCTGTTCTCGACCCGAGTCGCGTCGAGCGAGATAATAATTGATCGATGAAAATTCGTTCGAAATATCGTTATGATGTACAAAATGAAATAATAAAAATTAATAATCCTTAACGCTAAACACTTAAAAATATAACATTGAAAAAACTATCTACAAAACGAGGCGCATGGAGGGAGGGACACGAATGCGTTACACTGGGCGGGGGTAGTACTATAGCGGTATAATATTTTTATAATATTATATTGTATGACGTTATCAGTATAGTGGGTAATATTATAATGTTTTACAGTAACGAGCAGACATTGTATAGCAATAATAGTAAAAGTATAATGTTTATAATATATTATAATAATGATAGTAAAAATATTATGTAGTAGCGGTATAATATAGGTAGTACTTATATATAGTATAATGTTGCTATATGTTGCTAGGTAGTATAAAACGCTACGGTAATAATAATAATAATTACATAAAATAAATGCCAGAACGGCGCGAAACTCAGTCGGTCAAACTCGGAATTGTTTCGAAAATTTATCATACACCCCAATCATCGTCATAATATCGTAATATTATTATAGCGTTTATCAAATTTTAATGTCCTATTTATGAATTTTGTTTTTTTTTTAAAATATATTTTTCAGTCGTGAAGAAATCGTCGCTCCGCGTACACCGCCGCCGTCGTAATTTGCGTATTTTACGCGGAATCATACGTCGTCGTGTAGTATCGTGTTGCAATCGTGTCGTCGTCGTCGGTCGGGTTCGGGTGCTGTCGTCTTTAGACGGCCGAATCCTTGCCGACGAAACGGGTCTGCGACACGGACCTTTTGACGTCGTACTCCACTTCAGTGTCCTTTTTCAGCCTGCGAATGCGGACAAAAGCCGAAAGGTTTAGTTCTGTTGTCGTTAGGTATTATCCGTATTATTAATAATTGGAGGCTAGGTACGAGCTGTTTGGGTCGTACGCAGAGCCGGATCAAAGACCAGGGTGTACCCACCATAATATCGGAGGCCCCTTAAAACAGAGTTGCTATTTGTATAAGTCATTTTAAGGGGTTAATTATATGCTTCGTTGAAGTATTTGATAACAGTGGAGATGGATTTTAAAAAGAAAACATATTTTCGAATACTAACTATAGGTTCAAATATGAACAAATTCTGCAGCGATAAAAGTTTGATGACTGCAGAAGTCCAATTTTGTAATTGTGGGTGACTCGCCGGATTTATAATCGTTTTGCGTAATATGCGTGGAACGGGAAACCTCCCCTATTCGTCATCCCCGACTAATTTATTTGAGTTTTCTAATTAAATTATAATCTGCGAAAACGAAAACTGCAATGATATAACAATTTATAACGACGGCACGCGAACTCAATTTCGTCGTGAAAAAAACGTCCGTGGGAGATCTGGGGCCTAACCCCGCGGGGGTGCAATGAAGTACGACCCCCCCCCGTATGGAGTGTGAATGTGTATCTGGATGGGGGGGGGGGGGATGAGCACGGGACGGGTTGTGACACCGAGGTAATGCAAACTTCCGCCGTCTGGACACCCGCGGCGAGGGGGTTGGGATTTTCGATTTTATTTTTGAACGCCTTTTTTCGTATTAGGCATATATATACTTACATTTCGGTGGGTTCGATGCGCAGATTGTTGCTCTGGTAAGTGTTGCCGTTGGTCAACAGTTCTTTGCCCTCGCTGAAAAACAACAAGTACATATTATATTATAAAATATATTTTATAAACAAAAAAAATCGTCGTTTACATCACGTCGTACAAGACTGCTGCGGAGTATCGTATCATTATAAGAAATATAATATACACATACGATGCGTGTGCAAGCACTATATATATATATGTTGTACATAATAACAATATATTATCATAAAGGTATATTCACCACTATATATATATATATATAGGCGGAGGCGGCGGCGCGAACGTTTTTTTCCCTGTTTTAGACGCGCCTTTACACGAGTTACACATAATAATTAATGTTTACAACGGACCGCATGTACTTACCCAAGTTGTGTAACACAACGACCCAAATTATATTATGTTCATAAGCGTCATCATATCTATCAAAATGCGCGGTAATTATGTTGTTTTAATCGACAATTGTGTGTATACTGTGCATTTATATATACAGAGCGTTTATTTTAACGTCACTCGTTATTCCGCACCTGCAGTCGAAAATGTTTTTATACGTCATAATTTTTTTAGTGCTGGGTACACATTAGGTTTTTAGGCGGGTAGGTGTACACTTCTAAACATTAAACGCGTTTTTCCCCACTAATTTTCATATATTTTTTATGGGTTTAACATTTTATTTAACAACTGCCCCTTCGCATTCGGCTGGTTCGTGAGATATGAAATCAGAAAATTTGACCGTCGTTAAAAAATTTAAAATTATAAAAAAAATCACTGTGATCAAAAAAATCAAGTTTGATTTTTTCATCAAAAATACGTATAATACACGGTTTACCATTTTATAGCGCTTAGCTTTTCTGTGATATAATACAGCGGAAATGTGTGGAAATAACCTATTTCTGAATATTGTATAAAATTACAATATATTCCATGGTAAAAATTATCAATCGTAATATTTTAAATTTTATTTATACAGGGTTACACCGTATTTTCCCATACAAGGCAACCGGAAAACAGGAAAAACACGGTTACCTTGCACCCTATATGCTTAGGGTAACTTTTTCACGGACCACGAGGGTAAAAATTCACTACGTATACATACGAAGGATATCCCGCCGAGCGCCCAAGTTCGCGTCGCCACTGACCTAAATGGTGATATACCGTGGTACAACAAACATATATATATAAACTCATAATAATATATAATATATATATTATTTATTTATCGCACACGTATATAATATTATATTCTATACCGTATATGAAATGTAAATACATAGTGGAAGTATAGGAAGTATAGGTACGCGTCGGCATGTGTTTGGAAAAAAAATTAAAAAAAAACACCAAACATTTTTACATAATACCTATCGCAAAAGCAGGAAAAAAATCAATTTAAAGCGAGTCAGTCTGCAGAAGACAGGTAATTGGCTTAAATGTATATTATCATACGCAGATATAATACTAAAACAGCTTAAAAGCTTATATTATATTATGTATATTTTATCATATACACAGCAGTGTTGTTATAATATTAAATGTTATAAAGGCGCGTGTGTATATTATAACAATAATAATAATAATAACAATGATATTATTATATACGTTGGTCGAAGTGTACGACGGACGAGCGACCTTTGAAGAGCGTCCGTCGCTGCAGTGTAGGTGGGCACAGCTCTACAATATAATATAAGTAGGGTGTTAAACCAAAGCCGTTCGCATCACGTCAAGTTCATAAAATTATTCAAATTTATATCGTCATTATATTATAATATAATATAATAATTATATTATTGTTATTATGCGTCATAACGTGTTAGCTGCAGCAGGCGTATATATTATTATAATATCATACAGACGATAAGTGTTATAGCAATATTATTACATAGCGGCGAGATCTACGCGAGGTGCATACAATTATTATTATTATGAATTATGGCGACGTCACCGATACAACAATACATAATATTACATATATAGGTGTTACACTATTATATATATCATCGTTATCGTATCACGTCGCTTCAAATTAGGTGCTTACTGCTTACCAATCTCGAAACACGCAGCAAATATTTTCATTGCGATCGCGCAAATACGTATGTAGATGCACGACGAATGAAAATAGAATTAAAAAAAAAACTAAAACGGAATAGAAGAATATTCGTAGGTACAATAATAATATAATATTATTATAATAAATAAATAATTAAAAAAAAAAATACAAAGGCGCACACGCAAAACAAACGGGAGGAAGAACAGAGAGAAAGAGACAGAAAGAGATAGACAGAGAGGAAGAAAAGGAGAAGGCATAATAATGTATAATATTAGGCTGCAGCAAAGTTCCTAAAGTTGCGGACAAATTTGCTAGGTCGTTTCTTACCATTATTTTTGACACAACTGTGGTGCAGGGGGGGCGCGGAGGGTTTCGATTTGGACATACTAATGAAATCGACGCAAATTCGATAAGATGTAAATTATTTTATCGTCTGTATTTGATATCGAACGTTTTCCGAATGGTGAAATTACTAAATATGAATTTATTCAGGTCGAATCTGCTCGAAAACGATCGTCACGACCATTTTAAGTTAACGTATTGTATTTTTCTGTTTACTTACACTTTGGGTTCAAGACTGATTTGTTCCGAGACAATTATATTTTGAATAACCTCCGTGTACTAAATTGATATTCGGCGAGGGTGTACCTACCTACTAGGTATCAATTTAGTACGGATTTACTCTTGGACGCGGGGTAGCTTATCCTAAGTCCCGAAAAAGGTGAAGGGAAATATTTGTGTTCGCGACTTGCACGGTTTTCATTAATTTGTCCGCAACTAGGAAACAACTCGAGTACCTCTAATATTAGACAGTACTATACATTACATCGCAGCAATATCATATAGGTATAAGTATACAGAGAGTGTACATATATAGAATTGAACGCATTTAGTAAATAAGATTTTGATATTATACGGTAAATACAAGCGACCAAACCAAATCAATTAAATAATAACAAAAAAAAATATATTAATTAATTAAACAGACAACACGTTTCTTACAACACAAAGTTCATATCTGGCAAGGGGACTTTCTCTACGTCGGAAGTGTAAGAAGAACCGTTTCCGTTACTGGACGATTCGCCCGTGCTGTTGTTGCAATACGGCAACGGAAAACGCCAACCATACAAACTGAAAACGGCCCTCGGTATTTGAATAAATAATAACAATAATAACAATAACAATAACAGGTAATATTATAAAAACACGGGTAATAAAAACTCAATGAGAAAATATGAGTTAACAACATTTAAGTCTATATAGATATTATATACCTATTATCGTATAATATTATAAAACACCTAATAAAACAACAAAAATAATGATAATATATGGTTAAGGAGTATAATATTATATTGTATATTAATATTACTTAATATACAAACAGTAAGAATATAATAATAATGTCGTGTACGTATAGCATTTGAAATGTTCATGATTTAAATACATTTTTTTTTTTTTCATTAATTTTCATCAAAAACTAAAAATTATTAATTTCGTAACTGATATTATCGTGTTGATCTTATTTTCCCACTTTATTTACCTGATACATATTTTCAAATTCTTACAATGTTATTTAGTAAATTATTTGATAAATTATTCATTAATATATACTATGTATAGGGCAGGTACTTATTATAGCCTATATGAGATAAATTTGTTTGAAATAGGTACCTAATACCAATTATAAGAAGTAATCACAGTGATACTAGTGAATGGCGAAATATAACCAAAAGACATACAAAAATGTAATATCTTATTGAATTACTCATATCGATTAAGATACCAGCTAATACCTATATATTATGTTTATTCCCAAAATCTCAAACTATGTATCCTAAAAAAATATAAATATTTCACGATTTTAAACACTGTTCATTATAATATTAGAACCATTCATAGTTTTTTTTCGCTTTTTTCGAGGGGAAAAAATAACAACACACATACCATTAATTGTTAATGTACCTATATATTTATACGCGGGGACTCACGACTTAACGGTCAAAGGGTTATATTATGGATTAAAAAGGGTGTATTTAGGTAAAATAATATGATTTATTTAATTTACATATATGTTGTGTATATGCTCTTATTTAATAATATAGTTTAAAAATAAAATGCGAGCACACGCGACCCACATACAGATCATACAGACACACATAAACACAGACAGACAGACGGACTTAATCTCATACAAAGGCGTGCGTGGACTACGAATACCAATGTAACACAAACAATTCTCCCTTAACTCTAAGTGAAATTATACAATTACAATTTAAAATCATTAAAATATATTAAAAATTGTATAGATTTGAGCTCTGGTCGCACTCTTTCACCGGTGTGAGGGTTTTTGGATTCGTTTATAACACAATATATTCAATAATGTATGATACTGTTTCAGAAGTAGGTTTTTGAAATGTAGGTATTATTCATTCCCCATAAGTTTTTCAACAAAACAAGACCCTTCAAACCTTTTTTTGGGACTAAAGAGTGTATAATGCACTTGTACATTTAACACTCATTATGATATCAATATTCAATACTACGTATTACAAATAATATTTAACATCAATTTTTATGTTATCTCTAATATACATAATGCTACACAATAATATAATATTATACACGAACGACCGTCACCTTTTGTACCTATAACTACTATGCTACAGAAGCCTGCTTTCGCATTAATATCTCATTATAATAATACACAGTGTCACTTTAAGGGTCGTAATACACAGTGAAACTTCCATATTACGAAGTCTCGTAGGCAACAAAATAAAATCCGTATCATGAAGAAATTTGTTAAATATAATTAAATAAATTTGGTTCTAATTTCGTTTGGTTCTTAAAAATATATCATTAAACAGAAGATATTATTGCTAATGGAAGTTTCACTATATATTATAATACAACAAAAACAATATTTATATTGGTAAAAAAGACGATTATTCTATTAAATGTTAACTGGAAAATCAGGGTACAATTTAAACTTAAAATTTGGGGCACTGCAGAAGTCCTCCATTTCTTCAGTTAGTCTTGCAGTGATCATGGACTAGAGAAATCACTACTCTGTTTATAGTATTAATTTATTAATATATTAAACAAAAACTTGTCAACCATTATAAATAGAATACATTATATGCAGCATATAGTTGATAATGATACGAATAGGTCATGGCTGTACAAAACCTACATGATTACGTGGTCTTTTTTGTATTAAAGAGTAAGACGATTATAATATTATTATCTATACCAGGCGTGCCCAACCTTTTTTAACTTGCGGGCCACATTCGAAATTTATATTTATACTGCGGGCCGTATATGCTTCATAGGTTTTTTTTTGTTCATTTCGATAAAATATAGACTAGTCATAGGTATATCTATTGTACATTTTATCGGATATAATATTATCTTTGTTCACTTATCGAATTTATGACTCAAATCGTATGTGTTTAAAGTTCTCAATATTTCCACGCTATAGTTGTTAGTTTGTTTTCGTCATTAGAAATTGTACGTTCACATTAAGATGTCTCAAAATAAAAAGCGCAAAATTGATACCGAATGCCGTGTTTTTAATGATAATTGGAGTCTGAGTTATTTTTTTATCGAGTATCGAAATAAAGCTATGTGTTTGATATGCTACGAAACCGTGGATGTTTTGTATCATAACCAGGTTAGGTGGTTAAGTCGAGGAAAAGTATTAAAACGTTTTTTTGACCTTCGGCAGGAAATTCAAATATTTATGGTAGAAAAAAACAAACCAGTAGAAGAATTTGAAAACGAACAATGGATGTACGATCTGATATTTAACTGATATTTCTGCTCATTTAAATGAATTAAATCTTAAACTTCAAAAACAATCAAAAACTATTTTCGAGCTTATAAGTGATGTAAAATCGTTTGAAATAAAATTACAACCTTTTAAAAACCAAATATTAAAGCAAAATTTTTTACATTTTAAAACGTGTCAAGAAATTAAACAAAATTCTTTAATTGACGTTCCGACAAATCATTTTGTGAGTATGTTGGAACAATTATCAAAAGAATTTGAAAACCGTTTCCAAGATTTCAAATCACATATGACTTCATTTCGGCTGATTGAAAATCCATTTCTGTCTGATGAAAATAATGTTCATGAAACTGTTCAACTTGAACTTATTGATTTAAAAACAAATAATCATTTGAAAGATTTATATAAAGATATCACAGATAAAAATACAGATTTAATACATTTTTATAAGACTCTTACTGATGATTTTCCAAAAATAAAAGAATTATCAATGCGTATATTTACATTATTTGGTTCTACAGTTCTACTTATATTTGCGAACAAACGTTTTCACGCATGAATTACGTAAAATGTTCAGAAAGATCTCGTTTGACTGATGAACACTTACACTCCTTATTAAGAATTGGCGAGAATTTCCTTAATAAGAATTTAAATTATTTAATTATTTATTTATTTGTATTTAGCATGTTTTACATTTACACCAATTTATTTCTATTAATATTCTAAAATCCAATGAATTTTTTTTTATATAAAAATTAAAAATTGTAAAATAGGTATTTTATATTCTTAAAAACTTAATAAAATACATTTTTTTACACCTATATAAATTTCTAATTTTTATAAAATGGTCACGGGCCGGTTGGAACACCTTCACGGGCCGGATTCGGCCCGCGGGCCGCGGGTTGGGCACGCCTGATCTATACGCTCATGGAGGGTTTCTCTTGCTAGCATGTAAGGCATAAAATATTTTTTATTGATCAACAATAGAATTATTTTATCGTCTATGAAAAAGGTGCTGAGCAAAAACCCAAGCCCACGAAAATGTTGACTATGCACGCCCAATATCTGACATTTTAATGTATATAAGACATTTTTAAAAACAAAATTAATTCAGTTCATCGAAAAAAAAAACCGTGTGTTCTGAAAATTCTGCAAACGACGTTTCTTGAATTAAATTTCCCGAGATATTGCAAAACTGTTTCACGATGAAACAATCAACACGTGTGTATGCGTACTTGGTTAACGACGACAGAAAACATATCGACATATTATGAACACAGCGGTCGGTCGCTTGAAAGGGCGAACAACAAAGTATTATTATGATTTTTTTATATTTTTATTTAGATAATCCTCGGCACATTGTATTGTTGTTCAAAACCTTCGTTACCAGCTACACCCGCCTGTTATGAAGTAGGTATTGCGACGATTTGGACGTGCAAAGTATAATACTTAACGTCCTTATGTATTATAATGTCACCGTACACAATTTGATTTTTAGGTCTTTATAATGGCAGTCAGCTATTTCTTTTTTTATGTTGCCGCACTATTGATTTGCAAATAAACGCCAAAGACCGAAACTCACTCGCAACGACGATTACCCGCGGATTTGATTGTGCACGTTTACAAGCTAATACTTTTTACACAAAAACTTTAGTGGTGCAAATAGTAAATACGGTGGCGGGGAGGTAAGCCCTCTTAAAAAATATTCGACTTACAGCGAATATGGGAAGAGATTATTTCAAAACCCCGTAGAGAGGTTATATATTATTCATATATAAATACACCCCCTGAGGATTAATTTCATTTGTGCCACTGTCGATTTTCGGATTTTTTGAAAAAAAAAAATGGTTTTTAAAATTTAATTTGAACTATATTTATAAATAATTCGTATAGATTTTTTTTTAACTTCGATAGCCGTGATTCTAATATTATATTCACCTGTGCAGAGTATTATCTTCGACATACCAATATCGAAAATCGAACTACAACGGCCACGATTTCTTTAAAAAGCGTTTAAAGTTTAGATGAGAGGAATACAATATATTATATTATTGTGACTTTCCAGACGAGGCTGCACCTCTCAAACGGGTATGTATAGAACTCGTCGAATCTTCTCTATATCTACACTCCTTACACTTTTGAATGAAAAACCGCTTTACATCAATGTATTTGATATATAAACTACACGCACTTACATCGAACTTTCAATAAAAATATCTGTCCACAAAATATATATAGGTATGTATAGTAAGTTCCGAAATCAAAAAAATAATACAGCAGTTTCTTAGGTAAAAAAACAATAATTGTTAAACACGTTTTACACAACGATATAGTATATAAAAAGTATAAATTATATACTCCAAATACGATATGAGAAATAAAACATTTCGAAAAATCGACACAGACACCTCGACGACAGCTGCATGGTATATTTCGTTTCAATATAATATAATAATATAATGACGTATAAAACTAAATATTGTGAGTATTTAAGTAAAACACACACACACACACATATATATATATATATACACAAAACATAAACATATATAAGCACACGCCACACGAATATGAGGCGGGGTGACGCGGGGGTGGAAAATACAAAAATGATGATGGTTTTTTTCAGTGAAAAGGGTCAGGTTTGACGTGTGTGAATCGTGTGAATAACGACGCGGACGTTGTATATTATATTATATTATGTGTATGATGAATGCGAAATGATGATGACACACACACACACACACACACTAACCACAGACAGCAAAATAATCTTAACGCGCACTTGCCGGTATATTATTATATTATTATATGTATATGACACGCGAGTATAAGTTGTGCCTTAATATTATTTTTCACGCCGTTATGATAATAATAGAAAACAATATTTATGTAATATAAATTATATAATATATACAGTATGCACACACACACACACGTACGAACATATTATAATAATATATACTCGTATCGTATCAAAGTATCAAACGCGTTTATACTCTTCATCTTGTTGGCGTGGGGAGATGGCGTTGAATAATGGGGAAAAGGGCTGTACACTTTCGGGGCTGCCACGTACCTATCCTATTCAGGTGAACATCGCACGAGCACCGAGACATAATAATATTATAAAGGTATATGATAAGATTATAATGTCCTCGCATACAGGTGGCTCTCGTACGGTGTAATATAATGTATAAATGATGAATAATAATAAAACGTCGTATAGCGGGCAAGCGGGGCGAGCTGCTGCAGGTGTGACGCTTTCGACGTTATTATATTATAACATGAAAAAAAAAATAAATATAAAACGGCGTTGCATTATATAATTGTCACCTTCGCCGAGGCGTATTAAATTTAACGTTTAAAATTAAAATTATTAAGAGTTGAGGGGAAAAATAGCGAGAGAAAAAACTTTTTCCCGTACGATTATTATTCCGCGTCTCTGGTCGCGTTTGCACTGTATTATTATTATATATAGGTAACATACCTAACACGACTTAAAACGAAACAAATGGAAAACTTTTACTCTCGTCATCATCCATATTATATACCCACACTTTAGGGATTAATTTAATAACGTATGAAAGTTATGCGCACAAAATAAATATATCGTCCGCAATGCAGCCCCAACCCCTAAAATTTTAAACTGCACTGCGCGTTGTACACATTGTATAAATGTTAACATTTGGATAATGTCGATATTAGCCAATACACTACAATAATACATTTAAACTCCACTCGTTGAAAGGGATCAGGGGTTGTTGGAAAAATAAATTATCGGGTTCGGATTCATCGACATGCTTAAAATCGGACTGTCTCTGAGGCCCCAAAGTAACATCATCTAACGCCCACTAAATGGGCCCCGTCAAAACATTTCGCACCGATATTCAACGACCCTGTCTATGGCACGTACCAAAAATTTAGAATGAAATTTACTTAAAATCTTGTATAGTTACAAAACGATAAAGCGATATTTGAAAAATCATAAATATCCAATCGGATTATTGAGGGAATGTATGTACACGCCGTATGCGACAATATAGTTTCTCTCTTTGGATTGCCCCATATGCCAACGCCTCAGTACACTGCTAACCATATTATATTTCCAAAACGAGTGGACTTTACGAGTGCAGTATTGAAATATTTATGTAGTTCGATAATGATGCGATTTATATAGTTTTGACTGCAAACTATTGCAGTAGGCAACGTGTCTACGAGAGTACTATGAGAAAAATATATAGGACATAAACTAGTTTAAAAGTTCGATATAGTTATATATCATTATCGGGTTCGCGCATAAATAATTTTTCATATAAGTACGCGTCTGCACCTCACCAACCCTATTTGTTAATATATAGGTAATATAATCTAGGCAATAGGTATACATGATAAAATTATAGACGGGTCCCTGGACATTTCGTCCCCTAATATGTAGGCCACATATTATGCAAAATATATTGTCGATCGTTGACACCGAACCGCAACGATTAACATTCAAATACATCGCACGGTAATATGTCGTACAATGCGTGTACGAGTATCTGGGTAAATGCAGTGTATACAGGGTGTATCTGGGTCTGTAGATTTAACGAGAGCTCGTTAAAACCGTTGTTGGTTAAAGACCGGTCAAACCCTCCCCGCGGATACGTTCTGTATATTATAACGATATAAGTACCTATCCAGACTTTATGCGTCTGACGACCGCACGAATAGTAAATATGAATGCAAGACATGAACACGATAATATTATAATAATTATTGAGACATTTATAGTAATATTATTTTATTGCTCTGCAGTGTTGCGATTCGGAACAACCCTCGGCAAAGTGCACAACTACTAAGGGGGGATAGGCTGTTTGTGAACACATTAAATACGCGAGGAAATTAGGGTAAGTAAGCGTGGGCGTACATACAATATATACATAATACAAGTATAGATAAGCACGTGGTATGTATATATTGTGCGAATTCTTTCAACAGCCAACACTATAGCTCTTACTCTACCTATTTAATTGCTTTGGACAAGTTTTTTTAGACATTTATTTGATATCAAAAACCTCTAAGATCTGATCTTATGATTTCATAGTAATGTGAACGTTTTTCAAACAAAAATATAATTTATAAGTACCTGATTATCGAAATAATATTTATTTATTTTTTATTGATTCACATTTAAATTGTTTAGACGGGAAGAGAGAATGAAAGGCGAGTCGTTGTGTCTTAGTTGACTTTTTCGTCAATCTAGACTTGATTCAAAACTACATTATTAACGGAAAATATATCATTCACGTTCGATAATCAAAAGGTTTCAGAAAATTAGGTACTTCACCACACATTTTGAAGATTATGACGCGATAAAATATTATAATAATAAGTAATTACATTTTTATAAGGTCGAAAAAAACACCCATGTATAGAACTGAAGGAAGTATATATGCATTGGTCCTCTTTTTTAATGTCTCTAAGACCTGTTTCACGCATATTATGGTTAGTTATGTCCACAAATTGCCTTATAGAAAATAAACAAAAGCGATATAAATGAAATTGTATATTTAAACTATAAATAATACGTAATACATATAATTAATACGAAATAAATGTATGGGGCATACGTTTTGTGGTGAATTTAATCAAAAGTAATACAAAATATAAAATAAATGTATTTTTGATAGCTTCTATATAGTGTCGTGTTTTGAAATATTCAAAATTATTTCAGTCTTACTCTTTATCACTACAACCTAGACTTATAGTAAGATATCACATCGTTAAACTCTGATAAATTCGATTTATTTAAACCATTTATTTTGCGTTTGAACGAAATACAATATATTAAGCCTAATACAATTGGTTGATACTACAGATTTATATTTCATTTTGGAGTTGGACTATCGAAAACAATATTCAGCTTGCATAAAAACCAAAAAGCAACTCATTGGTATCTTTTTCACTCCGCCTGTCTTTAAACTGGAATACGTTTTTCATTCACACGATTGCAGTTTGGAAATCATTGGTAATTTCTATGTTTATTCTATCGTGCATATTTTAGCATATATTTAGACAAAAAAAAATCGCGTTTTACTATTTTTATTGTAAAAACTCTAGTCCTAAAAATTTGTACGGTGGTGCAAATATAATAGATTATAGGTAAGTATAAAATAGATTATGTATCTTTTTAATTTATATAACAACGAAGTTTCATATTTTTTATTCTCAGTAAAACCCTCGGGGGTAGGCGTGGTAACTATTATTTACCTAATATATAATAATATACCGCTATGTAAAACCACTTGGTATTTACCGCGGCGTGTTGACTATCTATTTATCTTGCTGTCTCGGTCGGGATGCATATGATGATTAGACGGTGGCGGTGGAGATGACTGCAGTGCTCACACCCGAGTGCATAAAATGTACATAAATTATAATATGGTATATGGTATATGGTATGGTATGGTATGATATGATAATATTATGTTATAGCTACACGCACGAATGGGACGCGTACAATATGTCAGGATATCACGAAACCCAGTGGATTAGTATTACCAGCAAAGTGATTATTATTTGTGTTTGTATATAAATACCCGAAAAAAAATGTAAAAAAAATAAAATCATACCTTCCGAGCTTTGCGTCCTCGTCTCTCTTCTTCTTCCGACAACACATCCCGAACAGAATGTACAAGATACCTGTGGAGTGCGCATGAAATGAAAAACAAACGACAACGACACATTATTACATATTATTATAATAATATTATCAAATTATAATAATATTCCGAAGCGTCTTAATTTAATGTAAATATACGTGTTGAACATATTCGGTGCGTGTGTCTTCACGACGAAAATACTTTTACCTACTGAAAATATAAATAATATTCTGGCATGTGATGATATTAAAAACGGCGTATACAAAAAGATATTTAAATTTGTTTACAGGCCGTAAGGGTAATAAAATTAGCTTTGAAAAGGACATTTTTTTTTTTTTTATCCTTAAATGAGATAACCTACGTTACTGAAGTGTGGTTATGTACCATACGCGTTATCTAATGATATTTTTGATACCTATATTATTATATTGTTTGTTTTTTTTTTAAATAAACTTAAAAATGAATCAAAATTATGAATAATAATAAATATATGGACAAGGAGTGGCCGAGCGGATTAAGGCGTCGGTTGCGACGCACACATCAAAAATTCTGAAAAAACAAACACACAAGTGTTCCTCCCCCTAACGACAAAAATAAAACTAGCTAATGGCCTAAGTCGCCGGGCTCAAGCTCAATAAAAAAAAAAAATAATAATAATAATAATAATAATAATCATAATAATAATATTAGGCAGTGATATTAAAAATAAAATGAATACTAGAGTACCTATAATATATCAGAATACAATTTAACGTATTTCTCACTATTGAGGTTAATTGGAGATGGGACAAAAAATTTGGTAATCATAATATTGTAAATTACCTATAATATAATATAACGCTTAAAGGGTGACCGTAGTGCTTCCATAGAATTTTGACGCCACCAAACATACGTTTTCTGAAATTCCGAGCCGAGGATAAATCTCGTAGGTGTCACGTAATATAAAATTATTAGAAAAAAACCATAGGTATAATCACTAATCCCATTACTAAATATTAGTCTGATAATGACGTGTGAATTCTTAGACACTGGGTTTTGATGTACAACATGTGCGCTGACATCCTTTTTATATTAAATATGTTTAGGACGTTTCCAGGTTGTATACTATTATGTATAATACGATTACCAACCGGAGTTAAGTAAAAATAAAATATATGTTATATCATATGACGAGGATAATAGCGTAATATCAGCCGAAATCCAAAAACCAGAATGGTACAATGGTTTATAATTTTTTTGTTTTTGAAGGGTAGTTAAAAAATGTATCCGGTCGATCTACCGGGGCGGCCACCCCCTAGGCGCGAACACAAATGCGTTGTGATAATATTATTATAATGTGGTTAGCGGTTACCGTCGCGGTCCGACCTCAACTTACCAGTGTTGTTGGCGAAGTAACACGACACGTCGATGACCACCAGCACGGTGAACAGGACGGCCAAGACGATACTGATTATGACCACCGAGCTGAGTCGGTTAGTGTACGGCGGCTGCATCGGAGGTATGTCCACGCCTGAAAACGAACACGGTAAATCATCATCGTCATAAATAATAATAATGTAATAATTTAACGTCACATCACATCATTGTAATTTTCGTCGCGTTTAATGCGCGTCCGGGCTTAGTGATTAATAATCATTTATACCGCTATGCGCGTGCGCCGCTCAAAAAAAAAGGCGCATTCGACGAGCTGCAGCTCTTACATAATATAGGTAATAATAACAATAATATATTATATTGCACTATATTATGATAATTTATTTATAATAATATTGTCGTAAGTGGAAAAAAAAAAACAGAGGTTAGCCGCAAATCATATCATATTAATAATAATGAGTCTTCGTAATTTTGTGATTGGTGTCGTTCACAGGTAAGTACACATCCACATACACACACACACACACACATGCTATATTTTACTAATATGTACACATTTAAACATGCTGCAACGCGTATAACGACAACAATAATATATTATATATAGGAGGAAGTGATATTATGTGGTGGGACGAGAGACGTTTTCCCGCTGCATCGTTTCAACGGTTGTCGTTCGCCACCGGAAGTGACCCTGTCGCCCTGTATTAATTAGCGTATCGTTTATATTGTTGTCGTCTGGTACGCGAAGCTGTGTAAACGAATACATAAAAAAAAACAAAAAAATTTAATAGTATAACACACCGACCGAAGAAGCGTTAGTGCAAAAAGCCAAGGAAACAAGACGTATATATATATATATATAGCTGCTGGTATGATATACGGGTAGGTATGCGTGAGTCGTATACATTACGTACACCGTCTGCAGTGAATATTATATTGTATAAAATATTATATACGTACGTACGCGACAAATCCGAAATCATTGTCATCCGATATAATATTATTATTATCGTAATAATAATATGTATACGGCGGCCCCGGGTCGTCGGCTATCGGATTTCGTCGCCGGCACTGCGGGCTGTGTGGGGGGGGGGGCGAAGAAGCCACGAAAAGATAATAATATTATATTGAAGAATACACCGTGCACTCTATATTAAATCCGTAAACGCATCACATGCTCTTACCTCTTCGACATGACGTCATCACCGTGTTTTAAAAAAAAAAACAGTATTATTATTATTTTTGTGATGTAGTTGCGACGTTGCTGATGTATAGTTGCAGTCGTTGCACCGTCGTCAATATAATATTATGCTATACAGCCATACAGGTAAGTACGTACAGGAGGGTATATATTTTTTTATTTTTTTTTTATCGATCGTTATCCCTCGACACACGACCCTCACGACTAAAAACCAAACCAACCCAACCTAAAACTCAGACCCTGCAAACTCTGTGCTCCGACTGTAGTTGGTTAGGTTAGCGAGTCGGGGTTAACTCGAGGAATAACGCGACTGTCCGGCGATAAAATATAACCACCCCATTATTGTACAACAATAAATAAATCAAAATAATCACGCATTGATCGCGGGTGATACACAATATTATAATATTGTAATATTTCTAGGGGTAGCGGTTATTCCGGGACAACCACAAGTCGACAAACGTATACCACAATATTCGTTTATATTAGAAAAAAAAATTATACGTTTATTATTGTCTTATTACATTATATATATATTATTATATATAAGTAGTTTGTTTTTTAATAAAAATTATGTAAGTATAATATATAGATCGCTCTAAATGCATTTACAACAAAATGTAATTATTTTAGTATATAATATAATTACTTAATGAGACTCTAAAACATAATCAGTGAATGTTTTTTGTTTACACTTTTTATCATATTATAATATATAGTAATAATAGTTAGGTATCATAATATCAATAATGGTAGGTACATTAATAAAATCGGTGACAAATTATACAGAATAATAATAATAATAATATAATATCATAATATCTAAATCGTTTATCTAAAACAGGCGACTATTAAAAAAAAAAAAAAAGTGAGTATAACTTAAATCTTAAGACTTGTTTTCTATCCTATATTAAAAAAAAAAAATTATAAAATAAAAAATATAGTTTATGTATAATATATGTATGACTTCTACTCGGTATATACCTACACTATAATATTATATTATTAGGTATATTATGGTAATAATATTTAAACGAATAAGAATATTATTTATATGTGATGAAGCGCTGATCATATTTACACATACGATGGTGTTAATATAATTTATAATATTATTATATTATCACTAGGACGGCGGGAAAACGTATGGTATAAAAACATAGAACATTATGGGTATAGTACCCCAGGTAGGAAACCAATTCGATACCATGGTATGCTAACCTGCAGGTGTCGGTGCAACGATATATTATTAGAACTGACGTAAACGGATATCATCGACGGGGAGGTTAAATTCACAGTCGATACGAGTGAAGTAGGTATTAGCGAATAATAGTGTATACTATGGCCGATTTCGTCGCACTGTAATGGTAAACTGCATCTAATAATGTTATAATTTCCAGTATAGAGAAAATATGAGTAATCGCTGACCGAACTTCACATGGACGCAAATCAATCGAACGACAACTAAATTATCGAATATTTTAATGTGATGGTCGTCATCATCGTCGAAAGACTTATTTTGACAAAACGGGCCTAACTGGGCAGTAATATATTTTGAAATTGGGACAAATTATTTTTAAAAAAGCCATGACCTCTCGTCTCGGCAACATATTAGTATATTATGAAAATAAAAAATATAAATGTCACCGAGGGAAACGAATGTACATAGAAAGACAGACTGCAGAGTAAAATAAAACACCTACATATAGGATATATCGTCCAGAGATTCGTAGTCGTTCATACACACATATACATTACAAACATTTATATGATTTTATCACAACAATTATATATAATATTAGACAAGTACAAGGCTTAAAAATCTACACAATAATAATATATTATACTATATATATATACCTTACCACGTGCAACAGCTGCTTAGATACTGCACGTGAAAACATACAATATTATTATGCACATACTAACCGTTAGCAAACGTTTCGTTTTTAGCAGTCATTTAACAATAGTAATATTATAATTTATGTATTATTATTATTATTATTTCAAGCAAATAATAATATTTTGCCGGTGAGAAAAAAAAAACTGTTAATGATATTGTTATCGTTCGCGAGACATGACTGCGTACGCGTAGTATACTATAGAGAGGTGAATACAGTATATATTATTATAATGTCTAATTAATAATATATTAATTACGAGGAATAATTGTAAAAAAAAAAAAAAAAAATGAAACAAAAAACATATAGCGACTGTGAGTCAAACGGGAAAAATTTATAATAATAATCGTCATAATAATGATATTATGCTAAAAAAGTTTCGCACTAGTTTTTTAGCGTAACCACCAGCGGTTGCCGCCAAAGGAAGCAGCTAAGCTCAATGCCGACAAGGCGACAATACAATGGCGTACGGCCAATCGGTCAACGGTCGCCGCCGCGTTGATGACGGCCACCTTTGCGGTTTGCTCTGTAAATCACAACACATAACACACTTGGATATTACGCTCGCAGACATAGAAAAACAAATAAACAATAATAAATAAACAAACAAAAGGGTGTGTATGATGGTGTATTGACTGTATATTGTTGCAAGACGGAGAGGTCGAGAGAAACACGGCAATAACAATAATAATAATAATAATATGTAAGGACGATCCCTGCAGCGTGTAGGTGGGAAGACCCGAGGCAGGACGAAGAGGACGAAAAATAAACAAACAGCACGACCGTACAAATAATAGACAGTTCTGTACTTCTGTGTCGGTTTTATTCCTGCGACTTGTTTCCGCCGATAATATTTTACTCCCATTTTCCGCCTTAACTGTATAATAATAATTGTTGTTATACACCTACCACGAATATATTATTTTGGTTGATAAAAGAGAGTACGGGGGTGTACCTACTCGTAAACAAAAAAATCAAATACTTGTCACAATATTACGATTATTTTACTATTAAGCGTTATTAATGGTAATGAAAATATCGATTAATGAAATAAATTATAATTAATATTTAAAAAGTCCAAAACGTTTAATATCGTACAAAGTTTTTTTATGGCGTTGTGATGGCGTCCTTTTCTGTTCCGTACAATAGTATAAAGATGTAAATGTAAGGCGGCTTATATCTTTGCATAGTACACGAATAAAATATTAACAAATATTTACAAACGAAATTACTTTTTATAATATCACGGAACATAATAGTTCAACGAGATCTTGTCAGAAGTTTAGAACTGAAAGAGGGAATAATGAAATGTACGGTTTTTGGAATAAAATAGTGCTGTGCACGTATAATATTATCCCTGAGCAAAAATCGAAACGCCCAACCACAACAACAACAATATAATATATATTGTGTTATTATCATTCATTAATATAAAACCTAATCATTATAGTACGTAAGATATATATCGATACATCATTATAATAGACTACACAATATAATTTGTACTCATATAATATATGAGATGCTATTAGAATTGAAGTAAGTATATTATACATATATATTGTTTTTAATAAATATAAATGCTCGAGCAACTTGTCTGTACCAACGGCATCCGGTCGGTGCCAGTCGCACCCCGCATCCTCCCCTGAACGGATGCGTCTTATTACGTTTTAATTGTTGTTATTGTTACGATTGTTTTTATTTTATTGTCATTATATTTGTTGAGTTTTACGGTCAGAAAATCAAGGGCGGGAGGCTGGTACTATGTGGTAGATGTTGGTATGTATATTAAGCTATAGTGGTGCATTAATATATAACACGTGGTTGCAGATTTTAGGTACATGGTGGATTTTTTCTTGCACGACTTTAAAGGTTTACGGTTTTGAAAACAATTATTTAAGTATGCGTAACACTTTCGAATAATGACGTTCTACCGCGAATATAAAATCTGAGGTATATGGTTACATTTTATCTGTACCTGCAGCCATGCTATCTATAAATCAAGTTGACCTTTTGGATTGGAAATTTTTAATT